CCTCAAAAGGAGCAGTTGACTACTGTAGGCACAAATGACCAGCTCTATTCTTTTGAAATCTACCAGCTAGTTCTCAATAACGCCGAGCAATTTTTTTGCAGCTGTTTTTTACTGCAGTAAGGTAATACGCCGTGGGAATGAAAAACTTTTTATATTTGTTCCGATTAAGTTACTCTGATGAGTCATTAAAAGGAGCATTAAACCACCGTTCTATCTGATTAATTATGCTGATCTTACTTCGTCATACTTTAACATAAAATATCAAAAACCTGGTGAGCTTTGCGAGAGCCACATAGATGTGAGACAGCTGATCGTATTAGAATTTGAGCTACGTCTATTCGGTGATCAGACTGAATGCACGGTCCATGCCTGGCATGGATATCGAGTATTAAAGTACAGAATCTGCCAGTGATGAAGACTCAGCCAAATCAGTTTTGTCGGCTAAGTTTAAGCAACATCCATATGGTTTCGTGAATTCGAACTGACAAAATACAGTATCGCTAATAATTATTATACAACAAATAGATTTTTTACATAACGCTGCTGTACCCTAGCGCTCTGACATGCAATCACCTCCAAAGTACGTACTACTGAGCTCTGAGGTTGACAACAAAAACCACATTTAGCAGTAATCAGAAATTCAATAAAAATGTCACACAATAAATTCATGCCAAAATTATACAATTTTATTAAGCATCACGGTTTGCCTTAAGTTTCATAGCGATAAATTACAATCGAAAGGCACGAAAAGGATCATATAGTTATCTTAATGAGCAACGCTCTTCGAATCGCTGAGGATGAAAGAAAATCGTTCTGTGCATCCACTCATCGATTGCAGTCGTTGTCAGTTGATGCGACTATTCATGCCGCCATTCTATCCGTTTAATATGTTGCCTCAGGACGCTCTACCATTCAAGTCAGAAGTCACTGATGACCCCTGGTGGCCCTGCTGTCTCGCTGACTTGCCTTTGTCCGCAAGAACTGCAAAAGTGCCAGCGACTGGTCGTCATCGGTGTGCCCACTGGTCATTCATTTGTTTTGGTCACAAAGCAGTTTCTCTTAGCGGCATTTTTGTTTCCTCCCACTCTTCGTCTGCCAGAGGAGCTGCCCTGCTACACAAGAACAACGGCGCCATCTGGGTGGTTTCCGGCGAAGTTTCCCGCAAGTTGCAAAAATGGCGGTTGGACTCATTTATGGAGGTGAAAATCGGACTTTGGCGTTTAACGTCGCCGAAACCGTCGTCATCCATCGTCGCAGAACCGAAACCGCCGTTATTCCGTCTGTCCTTCACAGGAAGAACCACGCTTGGCTGAATATCGATGAAAGCATCCCTCATTACCTTGCTGTTCACTTCCAAGGTCAGGGGCTCGCCATCGCTGACCGCCAAGTAACCAGTGCCATTGGCGGATTTTGCTGGAGTTGCAAGAGTTCGACCGCGACTTTTTCGATAGCAGAACAAGATTACGAACAGAAGAAGTATGAGCAACGTTGCAGAAGCCAAAATCGCGGCAATAAATATTAAGTCCTTATGACTAGTGAGCTAAAAAATAACAGGTAGATTTAATTACGTCATATCTGTCTCAATACTTTTTGTGATTCCGTGGCTGCTAGAGGAGAATCTGTAGAAGAACCATCCGTAAGCTCACGACCGCTTTCCAACTGGAACACCACGTACACCGTTCCGGCAGGATTAGAGGCGATGCAGTGGTAAATTCCGGCGTCTGCAGAATGAGGCTCAATAATGGTCAAAGAATGGGTCCACGTAAGCCGTTCCTTTGGGTGCAAGCTATTACGAATAATGTACTTGGGATTCACTGCTCGAACGATGGTTGTTTCGTTATCGTAGTTGTAAAACTTCCACTCCACCTGAGGTTCGGGGTCTCCCTTAACAACGCACATGAGAGTCACGTTTCGCTGATTCCTCAAAAACTGTCGTCTTTCAGACCAGGGGCTAGCATTCGGCGCGCAGGCGAACTCGTCCAGCTTCAGCTGATCCCACCGTTTTCCTCCGACCCGAGGAGGCGACTCGCAGGTGGGAGGTTCTGTCAGGTACTTTCCCATCTGCCATGCGATGAACGGACGCAATTCGCAATCACATCGCCAGACGTTGTGCATTAGGTTCAAAACTTTCAGCTGAAGCAAATGGACGAACGGTGCGTAGTGGACAATGGCCAGCTGGTTGCGATCGATGAATATCTTCCGCAGCATCGGCAGTCCCTTGAATGCGTCCTGGTCAATGGATCGAATCTCGTTTGCGGAAAGAATCAGCTCCGTCAAACTGACTGCCCCTTCAAAGGCGTTGGCGGGTATTTCCTCCAAGTGGTTGCCGGAAAAATCCAATGTCTATAAAATATTATGGCACTTATTTTGAGCTTGTATCAATGCAAACAAAACTGAGCGTCTTTATTACATGCAGAGTAATTAAATAATGCCACGAGAAAACTCAATTTGGTTCAGACGAAAGAAACAGCACTGTATTCAGGTGCGATCCTGCTTATGTGGATGCACGTTTCCTGCAGTCAATAAACAAACCTCATCTCCGATAGATTTCAATATGAGCGGATTTCATAACATCAGCTTCAAAGATAAATGTTCGCGGTGGACGAGCATTAACCAAATAGATTGCATAATCTGAATATTCTTCTTCCTGACTGGTTACATTAAATAAGTACGGAGATATGACATTCCGCGCCAAAAATTGCTTCTCTAGCAGACCATTTCAAGGTGCCTTCCAGGCCATTACGACTGCCACATAAACTCTGGAGAGTTCAGAGTCATATCCGTAATTTTCCCAGGAATATGATCCGACCATCCACAGGAACGCTGGGATATGAGATTTATGAGATTAAGATTTTGCCAAACTGATGTATGGTCACATCTGTTGCTAAATTACCGTAGTTCTTAACTCATCCAATCACCAGATTGACCACAGCTACGTTTCTTCGTTGGTAAATGCATAGAGTGCCACTCGAGCAGGCCAGCGCCGGAAAAAATTTGAGCATTTGCAGTCTTACATGCAACTCGAATTATTTTACCGACCGTACCAAGGATTTGCTTTAAACCAACGGTGACCTGAAAGCCCCTGCTGCCATTAGGCTTTTGAAAAACAGCCAAAAATACTGGTTCTAGTGTGCTGTGTTATCAAAACAATTAGCTCCTCTAATCTGAACTCTTCTTTAGCTCGCTGGGATATGGCACAAGGCTTTGGACGTCGCAACTGCCCTACCACCAACGTTTCCACCTGTGTAAACGATTCTTCCAGCAAATATTTCAAACATATCTTTCATCATTTCATACTGTCATTAATTACACGCATGCTTAACGAGGATTATGACATTTCAGAGGTCGTGGTGGATGAGGAAACCAATGTCAATGACGGCTATTGCCACCACCATTAAATACAGCTGACGAAGCATAGAACACATATCAAACTGGTCAATTCACATAAAATAGAAAGCAATTTATTTTATGGTAATTAGATGATAAGGAGACACTCATCATTGGATCGATTTTCTTCTACAGTGTTCTTCTTTTCATTCAGTCATCAGTGAATCACGGTTTGCTGACCAATGTTTGAAAATGCTAATATGAGTCTCATCAAGAGGAACCGTTTGGTTTACATTATCAAAAGCAATGCGCAGCTACTTTGCTAGAATAATTTAAATGTGCTTCATTAAATACCATCCGGACCGCGACCCATTTCTTGTTATTGGTTTTCTGACTTTAAAATAACTAATAATAGCAATGTAATCAAGGAATTAAAAGACAGCGTACTGGGGGCACTATTCCTCTGGCACGGAACTGGCCACATCCTCAAAGTCACTTGTGCATTCGAGGGCAATAATGTTTACGCATAAAGTAAGCGATTAACTTTAAGCGACTGCTGTTATATGCTGTCATTCGTTTGCCTCTACCTGTCGCAAATCCGATAAGGA